TGAGTTTATTGAAAACAACTCGATAACATCAGGAAATTTCGAAAAGTTTATAAAAACTGGTCGTATGCAAATTATTAAAAGTTCTACAACACATACAAATTTACTAAACGAACCAATTACAATTTTATCTAAAAATAGCGACACAACAAATCAAACACAAAATCCGCTTAAAAATTGTTTAAAAACAAATGTCAACGCTAATAACGAGATTTCTTCGTCATCAATCTCTGAAAATTTCAAAGATAAATCAGAGAGTTTATTATCAAGTTTTGGTGATGCATTTTCAGTTAACGACCCGACTAAAAATCTAGACCAACAAATTACAGATAAACAATTCGTTTCGAAAAGGCAATTGAGAAGTTCACAAGTAAATATAGAAAAAAACGAAAATGATATTATTAATGAAGAAGAAAAAAATCAGATATACACGTGGAGTGGGAAGAAAGTGAATACCGTTGTTTTTGACTCTGAAAAGGATACCATAAAAAGAGGAACAAAAAAGTTGTTTATGAAAATAAAAAATTGCAATGGAAGTGTTCTAATTATAGAAGACAATGAGGGTAATAAATTTGGGTTTTATATTTCGAAAAAAGTCGACAAAATGGACAAGACTATTTATGATGATACAAGTTTCGTTTTTGTACTTCAAAAACAATTTGTAAAAAATTTTCAAAAATTCGGTATTAAAAGTGATTGTACAAAAAACGTGTTTTGTGTCGATGGAAAGAATAAAATAGGACTTTTTTCTATAGGAAATGGAGACCTCAAAGTTTATAAAAGTCATAAAGGAACGACAAAATGTACGTGTAAACAAAATTCATTTGATAGTGGTGATAATTTGGAAAATTTATTTGGAGAAAACGAAACAACGACTTTTGTGCTCAAAAGAATAGTTGTTTATACAATTTCTGATGTATTTGATTTAACCGATTAGTTGTTTTGTTCTTCAAATTGTTATAATTATAAAGTTAATTTTTCAAATGTGGTTTACTTTTAACATTTTACGTCCTATTTTTTATAATAAGATTTACAGAAAACAATTTAAAAATAGAAAAAAAACGTTTTTTGATTCTCAAAATTTTTTAAATAAAACAAAAAAATTTTAGTTCACCTGTACAGTGAATTATAATTTTTTTATCTTTAAACGTTATCTGTTACTTTTTAGACATTTAAATATGAAATATTACGGGAAGCCGTCCCAAAAATCCATATAAATTTTTGTTTTAAAATTTTTCGTGTTTTACCTAATGCTTTATATTTAAACAAAACTAAACCTATTTTATGTCCACCAGATAACATTAAAAGACCGACTCTACAATAAAAATAATTGATCACAACCACCATTTTAATTAAATAAATTATTTGCCGCAATTGTTTTAAATAAATAAATACCTTTCATCTATTTTCTGCGTTTTCGTGTCATTCACATTCCTCTCCGTATCGTGTGGACGCGGATGTGGTTTTTCCTTGAAAGAAGGGGGTGAAGGGGGATATGCGCCAAGGAGGACTTAAAGACTTTGTTTGAATGAGTCTTTAAGAGCCTTTTTTTCAATGCTCCGTCTCACTCGGTATATAATTGACTCGAGGTGAATAATCGGCATTTCTTGAATTATAGAACCAGACCAAATATTATTTCAATGGCTTATATACTATAATTTTAATTAAAATGTTATTAAAAATAATGAATTAATTCATTTTTAGAAATGGTTGTGGAAAAAGCTTGCGCATATAATTTTTCTTTTACTTATTTTTATTACATAAAAAAGGTTATCGATTTAAAAAATTTTAAATAATCCGAAAAAACTATAATTAAAAAATATAATATTTAATTGTCTACATAACAAATACAATTAAATTTGATTGTACTTGTATCTTTAAAATAAATTATCAATTTTAATATAAAAATTAAATTTTTATGAAAACTATGAATTCTACGAAAACCGATTTTTCATGTTTAAAAACACGAAACTCCAATTAAAATTTAAAAAATAATAAATGATTTATTTTGTAACTGTAATTTTGCTATCTTTTTTGGCAACGACTAAAACTTTTGCCACGACGTGGTGTGGTCCTGGGCAATATTTATTGATCGACAGTTGTTTAATTTGTCTAGCGGGTACTTATTCTTATGGAGGTACAACAACATCATGTTCGTTGTGTTTTCCTGGCACTTTTTCAAAATCTGGAGCATCTTCATGTACACAATGTTATCCCGGATATTATTCGTCGAGCTCTGGTTCTTTTTTATGTTCAGCTTGTAAGGCTGGAACTTATACATTGGATCGGGGGTCCGTTTCGTGTTATACATGTGCAGCGGGAACATATTCTACTGATGGAGCATCCAATTGCCTCAATTGTTCGGCTGGATCTTATTCCGTTTCAGGATCATCAAATTGTACAAAATGTGAAACTGGATATTATTCGAAGTCTGGATATTCGAAATGTATTCAATGTGTTTCTACGAGTTGTAAAGTGTGTTTAAAAACGACGGGGGAGTGCACTTCGTGTAATGTTGGCTATTCGTATGATTCGTCGAATAAAAACTGTTCGATATGTCCCGCATCGTTTTATTCAGGTGGCGGAACTTCGTTGTGTTCAAAGTGTGCAACTGGTTTTTACTCACTCAGTGGTTCAAGTGGGTGTATAAAGTGTTCAACAAGTTGTAAAACGTGCGACCAAACAAATGGAAATTGTTTATCTTGTAATGACGGTTATTTTCTGAATGGTAAAAAGTGTGACACATGCTCGGCTGGCACGTACCAAAGTGGAAGAATTTGTGTATCATGTGCCGACATGCAATACTCATTGGCGGGAAGCACAACGTGCAAAAGTTGCAGTCCAACGTGTTTGAGTTGTGATAAGACAAATGGGTATTGCACGTCATGTGAGTCGGGAATGGAAATTACAACAACAACGTGTTCGGTTTGCAGTGCTGGCACATACAGCACTGAAAACAAATGTGAGTATTGTTTACCTGGGACATTTTCATCATCACCAAAGAGTTCACAATGTGATCAATGTGCAGATGGGACTTATGCCAACACACCAGGATCAACAAATTGCAAAACATGTGATGTACTGTGTCAAGGACCATGCGAAAAAACAAGTGGCAAGTGTGACGCCTGTGTGAGTGGTGCTGTTTCGTTGAATGGAGTATGTTCACTGTGCAATTCTGGAACAACGGCAAATCAAACAACAAACAATTGTGATACATGTAAAGAGGGTACCTATGCCGGTGAAGGCTCTTCTGAGTGTAAAAATTGTGGAGAAATGACATACTCGACTGCCGGCTCGTCTTCATGTCAGCAATGCGACAGTCATTGTGATGGGTGTGATGCGACGACTGGGTATTGTGTCAACTGTGTGACTGGGTATGGTCTTGCAGTTGGGAAGTGTGCCATATGTCCAAAGGGGACTTACTACATGAGTTCTGTGTGTCAGAGTTGTGGTGAGATGGCATACCAAGATGTTGTTGGACAAACTACCTGTAAGTTGTGTGACTCTTCGTGTGCAAGTTGCAATGCAACAAATGGAAAATGTTTCACATGTGCTGCTGGATATGGCTTTGATAATGGCACATGTACGTTGTGTGGGGACCTCACATACTCGGAAGGAGGTGTTTTGCAGTGCCAACAGTGTTCCACTGAATGTAAGAAGTGTGACAGAAAAAGTGGTGCGTGCACATCATGCGAAGTTGGCAACAAAAGAGCTGATAACAGTTGTGTGTCATGTGCTCCATCTGGATATTGCGATTTGTGCACAGACGAGACATCAGATGGTATTTGTGTATCATGTGAAGATGGATTTTATTTGAATGAAAGTGCCGACTGTCAACCATGTAGTGATATCCACAATGACTGTCTGACGTGTTCTAAATTAACAAAAACGTGTCTGTCATGTGCAGGCAACATGATATCAACTGGCACCAGTTGTGTTGCATGTGAAGTTGGGATGGTCAAAGTCACAGAAACGATGTGCGACTACTCATACAATGTCATCCCAAAGTGTCAGATTGCAGACTATGTGAATAATCAACACATTTGCACCACCTGTTTTGCGCCATACGTCACTTTAAATGACTTGAAGGCGTGCAATTTGGCATACACAACAACAACATATTACGACACAAATGATCACAAATTACACAAAAACATGAATGAATGCATCAACCAAATTAATACAACGTGTTATTCGTGTAATACAACAACAATGTTGTTAAACGGTGTTTGTAATGTTAAGAATGAGAAGTGTGAGACATACTCGCAACACGGCTGCGACAACTGTTTTTCAGATGTGATCACATCAAATGGCAACTGTGCAAACACCACAGATTGTAAATATAAAATCAACAAAGAAAGCGGCACGGAGTGTTTGTATTGTGTCGATGATGTGTCGTGTGGCAAAGCAAAACAAAATTGTGCTATATCAAACAACGAGTATTGCTACTTTGCAGTGAATGGGTATCACACAACAAACGACAACACCATTGAACAGTGTGAAAGTGAAGTGTGTGTCATTTCAAATAAAATTGTTACTGATTTGAAATGTAAAGAAGACAAATTGTTGAAGGATGGCGCGTGTACAACTAATACGATGTGTATAGCAATATCAAATGGCGATTGTATCAAGTGTGATTCAAAAGAACACCTCTCTCAAGGAAAATGCTTATCAAACAGTGCAAATTGTGACAACCAAAATAAACATATTTGCATTGTGTGTAACAACACCATCAATGTTGAAGGTGTGTGCACAGACACCCAGTCAATTCATTGCCTTTCATTTGACAAAGTGTGTGTCACATGTGAGAGTGGCTTTTACAAAGACGTTGATGGATGTAAAGAGAAGACTGGCGTGCTGTCAAATTGTGATGTTGTCTCGTCACTCAACACCAAATGTGTCGAGTGTGAGTCCGATTACAATTTCAATGGAATTTCGTGTGTGCCACAGATACTTTCAAATAAGACCACCAGACAGACAACTAAAAACGAAGACACACAGACAGACAGCCATTGTGAAGTGAGCACCACAAAGGGGTGTCTGAGGTGTCTCAGTGGGTATTACCTCGCAGACCGCATGTGTGTCAAGTGTGAGTACCCATGTGTCTTCTGTTCAAATCAAACATTCTGCACCAAGTGTGACGATTACTCGTATGCAAACAGCAACGGCGTTTGCACTGAAATTAACGCACTTGTCAGTGTGTGTGACGTGTTGATGTCAACATATCGCGGGTGTGTTATCTGCAAGGAGGGGTACATGCGGTCATCTGATGGATCAACGTGCATTGGCTGTGATGAGTCGTGCAAGTCGTGTACAAATGAAGGAAATTGTATTGAATGTAATGAGACATTTTATCGCACTTCATCAAATGTCACCAAATTGTGTTCATCACAAAGCGAGTTGACTTCATGTGCAAACAAAACAACAGCCGGTTGTATGCAATGTGAAGGTGGACACTATCTCTTCAACAATTTGTGTATGAAATGTCAAGACACGTGTACACAATGTTATGGCATTGATGAGTGCACCGACTGTGTAAAAGACAACGTTCTTGTGTCAGGCGTCTGTTCACATTACACAGCCATTGAGAACTGTGTTGAGTCTGCCAACAACAAATGTTCAAAATGTGATGACAAATACAAGTTGAGTGACGACATGTTAAATTGCATTCACACCACAAATTATGGTGTTGTAGTTGGCATACCAATTGTCTCTGTGTTCATTATAGTACTTATTAACATTAGTATTATAGTGGTTACAATTATTGTATTACAAAAGCGCAAAGAAACAAAGAAAATGGAAAACATCTGTGTCTTTGAGATGAGTCGTTCAAACATCACAATGAGTGTGTTATATGGCAACGTTTTGACTAACAAAAAGTCGCTGACATTTGATGACACCAGTGAAGTTATTCCCGTTGAAAAGGAATCTCGCGAACTCCTCTGTGTTGGCAACAAAGGCAAAGGCATTTTGAAAGTCCAAATCACAACACGTGGCGGCTGCGACAAATACTCAATTCGCACCGAGCCGCAATTGGTGACTTTGAAGAAAGGTGAAGCGTGCGAGTTTGAGGTGTTTGTAACACCACACTGCTCACTGAAATTGCACGACGAGATGATGATAGTCACCATGAACATCGAAAATAGTGAAACAGTGTCTGTTCCAATTGCCATTGAAATCACAACAGAAAACTCGACAAAATTAGATTACGACGAGTTAAAAGAAGACAAGAAACTTGGGGAAGGCTCGTTTGGAATTGTCTACAAAGGAAGTTACAGAGGAAATGTTGTTGCTATTAAAAATATGAAAGAAGTTAAAAACAACAAAACTTCGATGGCTGAATTTGAGAATGAAGTGTCAATGTTAGACAAGTTTAGAAGCGATTATATTGTCCATTTCTATGGCGCCGTGTTTATACCAAATAAAGTGTGTATGGTCACTGAATTTGCTGAATATGGGAGTTTGAACGACTTGATTAAAAAGACAACACAAGAGATGCCACGATTGTTTCTGCGAGTTAAATTGATGTTAGACGCTTCAAAAGGGATTTTGTATTTACATTCAAATAACATTTTACATAGAGACATCAAACCAGATAACATTCTTGTCTATTCACTTAATATATATGACAAAGTGAATGCTAAATTGACTGATTTTGGGTCATCTAGAAACGTCAACATGTTGATGACTAACATGACATTCACAAAAGGTGTTGGAACACCAAAGTATATGGCGCCTGAAGTACTTGAAAGAGAGAAATATAAGAAGCCAGCTGACGTATATTCATTTTCAATCACAATGTATGAGGCATTCACATGGGACTTTGCATTCAAAAATACAGATGTACAGTTTAAATATGCATGGAGTATTGCGGATTTTACATCGAGTGGAAAAAGACTTCCAATACCAACGTCAGTACCAGAGGAACTTAGTTTACTTATCCAACAAAGTTGGGAACATGACCCCCAAAAGAGACTAGAAATTAAATATGTCGGTAATTATCTCGAAGAGTTCTATAAACCAAATAATTGATATTTTGTTATGGGACTTACTTATTTTATTTTATAAACTTTATTGTTGTTTCCAAAAGTTAACATTACGATTTTTATCTTTGATAAAACATTTGAGAAAATGTTTTGATAATGAAAACACTAATGCCTTTTTTGTTTTATTAAAACATTTCCAAAAATTGAAGAAAAAAGGAAAACACACAAATTATTGTTTACGTGATTTTATTTGTTTATTGTTTACATTAAAAAAATCACTACAAGGTAAGTTTTTTTGTATATCATATGTAGTTCAAAAAATAATAAAAAAGAAATATGTCTTTTATTTAAAACAGTAACAGTATCATAAGGTTAAAAAAGCTTCACAAAACTTTTTTTTACAGCCATCTTTTTTAAAAAGCTGATGTTAATATATTTTGTTATCGATATAATTTTTTTAATTCAAATTTTATTTACGTTTAATGGATTTGCCACGTTTACAGTTTTATGATAGGGGTAAAGAAAAAAAGAAGATACTGGTTGATCATTTGAGTAGATATTCAGTCAGTAAAGTGTTAACTTCTCGCAATGTAGCATTTTTTAATAAAAATAACAATAACATTTAATAAAAATGTACAAAAATAAAGATAAAATAGTATAGATTTTTAAATTAAATGTATAATTATTATACTATTATTATAAAATTAACTGAAATATATAAAACAACTCAATTTTAATAAAAACGGAGAATAGAAAAACAGAATAATAGATTTCTTTTTTTCCCAAAAAATCAAACACAAAAAACATTAAAAAATAATAAATGATTTTGATAGTAGTATCTATCTTGTTATACAATGTCAGTGCTGCAAAACAGTGGTGTGAAAATGATGGTGTTATCCAGTATGCAGACAATGTCAATTGCGTTGAGTCTAGTGAATGGAATATCAACGACATAACATTTAAGTTCACCGCCAGTTGTTGCACAACCCAGACAAAAACGTTCAACGATTATGGCGATGAAAGTAGTGATGAAAAAAGGTTCAGTTTTCTTTCTGATGGAATCGTTTTAAAAACGTTGTTTTTTCAACTAACAAATAAAAATAAAAATATTACAATATGGGACGGAAAACGGACAGAAGGAATATTCGTTGCTTTTGGTTGTTTTGATAATCAGTTGTATTGTCGTACATCAATTGGACAAGATAAATTAACATTTATAGACCACCATTGGCATGGCATATCTCTATTTTCAGATATCGACCAGTACTTTTATATAATGATATATTGGGTAGGAAATGAATCACCAGTACAACTTTTCATAGATGGATATGTCTCTCAACACGTTACTCTTGAATATATGAAATCCTCAACCCAAAGTTCGGGTATTGTCTACTCCAAAAATAGATTTTTATTTACAGGTAATTCAAATGAAAATTTAATTGTAATCAAAAACAAAGACGGTGTTGCAAAAGAAGTCTGTGAACGGTTTGGATACAAAAGATTCCTATTTTTCGAAAAATCATATAAAACCACATATCTTAGTTACACGGCGTGTACTTGTAAAAGTACAACACACCAACTTCTTGAAACTTATGACTGGAATTATCCCGATTGCCGATATAACCATTCTTTATACAATTTGGATTTAACAAATGATGTTGACAATGAAGTCACTATTGAAGTTCAACTTTCCTCGTTTTATTCAGTACTATTTGACACAAATAAAAAATATATTTTCACGCCATTCAACGATAAAATTACTTCTATGATTTTCACACATTTTGAAATGAAGGAAAATATTAAAGTTGAATTCTTGATTGAAGTTTTTATTAATAATCTGACGATAACTTCCATTGGTAATTATTACTTCAAAGAAGGCGTCAATATACAAACAGTAAATCACAACGAAGATTTTATCAATAAAATCTTGTTTTCTGTTGATAAAAACTGACCGGTGATGGTACATTATCGTCTTGTGGACGTAGAGTGTTTTATGTTGAATCACTGTTGAATGGGTATATGTGTTATTGCAATTACACAAATGGTGTCTGGGATCCATCAGACACGTCATTGAACAAAGGAGACTGTTTGGAGTATTCATTACAAAGCAGTTTAATACTTCAGATCAACTCCGCCAACTACGACGTGGCTGCAAATCAAAGTTGGCAACAAATCAACTTTTTGAATCAAAAAAGTACAATCACAGGAAGTCGTGTTCTCGAAACACTAAATGCCAACATCCAAATTGATGTTGTTTTTAATAACATCAACACGGTTTTATATATCAAAAATACGTTAGCATTCAACCAAAATACGCATATCATATTTCAACAATTTACAACTCTGTTGATTGATGAAAATGTCAAAATTGTTCTTCACAATCCACAAAACAACACAAATAGAAATGGAATAATTATGATAGAAACCGATGCAAAATTTCAAAACAATAACAATGCAATGACTGTTGAATATAATAGCACCACTTTATTAAATTATTGCATCGAATTGATATCTTTTGAATTCCCTTACCAATTTAAAGCTTTCACTTCAAATTCTAAACTAATTGGCGGGAAATTATATCGAGTTTGCCAAGAAGGAAATTTACTCAATGAAAACACACAATGCAATTTCACAGGAAATGATATGAATGCTCACCTAAGTTACGAATAAAATGTCCTTCATTGTCCAATTAACACGGAGAACGCAATGATTCTGTTGAAAAACAACAACTTGGCACAAACAGTAAACTTCAATGGTCATTTTGAACAACAAAATAATTCCACTCTGAAATGTACAAAAAACATCAACTATTTGACTCAATTTAAAGAAGTGAATGAAAATGTTATCTATATTGAAGACAATTCAATAGATGGTGGAGTGTTCACTTTAGAAGATCAAACAAAAAATTGTTTATGGGAAACAATTTTGGTTTTCAAAGTTCAACAACAAAAAGTATGAAGAAATCGTTGAGTTTTGTTGTGACAAGTGACACAAAATACAACTGCGTTGCTTTTGAAGCGAATGTCTACTCAACACAAAATTCGATGTGTTTTTTTTGTAAAAATGAATGTTATTTATATGAAAATAAATGCAATGTTATATCAACCGTATGTAATAGAACATATAAAACATTGCATTATTCTTTATGTGAAGAATGTTCGACAAAATATGAAGCCATGAGATACGAATGTTATCAGTGTCCTGACAAGTGTCTTCATTGCGTTGATGGTAAATGCATTTCTTGTGAACAAAACTATTATTATGATGACAATGGTGTCTGTCTACCACTTGATAATTCAACGGGAAGTGTTCAATTGTATATGTTGCAAAATGCAAGAAAGTGTTCAGAAGGGTATTACACATCGTCTACAACATGTCTTAAATGTTCTGATAATTGTATTCAATGCAAAGATTCATTAACATGTCAAATATGTAATACATTCAGCTTTTTAATCGATAAAGGCGATTCTGTCATATGTGAAGTCCAAAGCAACGTTTTACTTGCGACAACATTGACTATTTTGTATTGTGCAACAAGTTATTACAAAGATACATCGAGTAATTCATGTAAAAGGTGTTCAACTACGTTTGGTGAATTGTGTGATCTGTGCGATTTTGACAAATGTTTGAAGTGTTCGCAATATGGAGTTATGAATAAAGTGACTGGGTGGTGTGAAGTTCTATCAGAGACTTCATGTTCCACAACCCAAAACACATATTGTACTTCATGTGAGCACGTAAATTATGCTATGAATACAAGTGGTCTTTGTGAACCCAACACCAACTGTGCAATTTCATTCAAAAATGGGAAATGTCCAGTTTGTGTCGATGGATATTTTAATACACCTGCAAGGGTGTGTGAACTCAACACTACACAAAGTGACAAATGTATTAAATTAACACAAGAAGGCGACAGGTATTGTCGTTGTGAAACCGGTTATTTTGTATTGGACAACAAGTGTTTTAAATGTTCAGACAATTGTGTTGATTGTTATAATTTTGATGAATGCCTCCTTTGCAAAGACAACTACTTTTTACTTGAAAATGGGACATGTGGAGAGATATCTGAAGTCACAAACAACTGCAAAAAGTTGATTCAGACGCGTTCTATATGTGCATTATGTCACATCAACTACTTCAGAGATGCAGATGGAAAGTGTGAGAGTTGTATTGAGAATTGTACCATATGTAATCAGAAATCGAAGTGTTTACAATGTGTACAATACAACTTTTTGCTGACAGATTCTACAAAATGTCTTTCATATGACTACTTGGATAACTGCGACATAAAAACGGCGAGTGGATGTGTGTTGTGTTCGAAAGGGTATTTCATTTTAAATCAGATGTGTGCAAAATGTGACTCAAAAACAATGAATTGTACTGAATGTACACAATATGGGGTATGTACATCATGTACAGACAACTTCATCTTATTATCAGATGTTTGTACTTCGATTGACAAGATATCTGATTGTATTGAAATCGCACAATCGAAGTGCTCTAAATGCACATTCTGGCATATTCCCAATAACTCTGGCACATCATGCCAAACGCAAGCTGTCTGGTGGGTCATATTTGTGTGTGTCTTTTTCGTAGTTATAGTAATCTTAATGTTGATAATAATGTGTATAATAATCATTTTCAAAGTGATTGAACACAAAAAAAGAAAGAAAGCACAAAAGGAGACGTGTCTGTTTGAAATGAGCAAATCAAACATCAAATTTATCAAAACGATAAATAAAAACGTTGTAGTCAATATCGATAAAATTGTGTTTGAGAGTGCTGATTATGGTGATCTCAAAGTTGGGGAAGAGTCGCGTGAATTGATATGTATTGGTAACAATTCCAAAAACACCATCAAAGTTCAGTTCTCTTCGAAAGAAGACAACTATAAGTATTCATTCAGAAGTGAGCCAAAGGTCGTTTCAATTCCAAAAGGAAAAGCATGTGAATTTGAAGTCTTTTTGCTGGTGAATTGTTCGACACAAATAGAAGATACCATCTCTTTGTTCTCTGCAAATTTAAAGAAAGGGGAGACTTCTGAAGTCTCGATTGGAATTTGTGGAAAGACTGAAATATCGACCCGTTTAGACCCAGACGAACTTAAAGAAGAAAAGAAACTTGGTGAAGGCTCTTTTGGAATTGTTTACAAAGGAAATTTTCGAGGACATGTCGTTGCAATTAAAAAGATGAAGGAATTTTCTGAGACGAAACAATCAATGGATGAATTTACAAAAGAAGTTTTTATGTTAGATAAATTCCGTAGTGAGTATATCGTCCATTTCTATGGCGCCGTCTTTATGCCATCTAAAATATGTATGGTCACTGAATTTGCTGAATTTGGAAGTTTACAAGACTTGATGAAACATAAAAAAAGCGAAGAAGTTAATATGAAAATCAGAGTTAAATTGATGTTAGATGCATCACAAGGAATTGTTTATTTACATGAGAATGGCATATTACATAGAGATATCAAGCCAGATAACATTCTTGTCTATTCACTTAATATAAATGACAAAGTAAATGCAAAATTGACTGATTTTGGATCAAGTAGAAATGTCAATTTATTGATGACCAATATGACATTCACTAAGGGTATTGGTACACCTGTGTATATGGCACCTGAAGTGTTGAAAAAGGAGAAGTACAAAATGTCATCAGATATTTATTCGTTTGGTGTCACCATGTATGAAACATTTGGGTGGGAAAACCCTTATAATAAAGTGGATTTCAAATTTCCATGGAAAATTGCAGAGTTTGTTATTTCTGGAAAACGTTTATTAAAAAGGGAATTCATAACACAAAATGAGTACAACATTATTTCACGATGTTGGGATGATGATCAAAAAAAGAGGCCATCAATTATCGATGTTGTTGAAAAGTTGGAGACATTTAATTTAATACAGTAAAGTTTAATTATGTTTCAATAATATTTATTTTTATTTACAAATATTAAACAAAACTTAAAATAGTGTTCATTATCATTTTTACTTTCTGATGTTTGATAATAGAAAAATAGTAATTGTTGAATTTTGCATGTATTTATTTGGTTATTGCGTTTGGATTCATAAAATTAACAATTCTTTTTATTTTATTATTGAAGTTCCACATCTGAAATAACTTCGCGTATTTTTTTAAATAGCAAATTAAGTTTTCTTGTTAATAACATACAGTTAGTTTCACAACAATTCCTTATTTTTTACAACAAATAAATTTCTGTTTCATAACAATTAAATTTGTACCTTTTTCATCCATGTTTCAAAATAAGTATTTTTTGTTGCACAATTTGCATGATTGTTTTTTGTTTTAAAATAATATAGTATTATTGTATAACCGCATTGTATTGTTTCACAACAAAACATTACAAATTAACACAAAAAATAAATATTATCAAAACAGAACTCTTTAAATAAACAATTTATATTGGTATAAATTTATAATCTAATCGATAAAAATTAATATTAAACACGAGATAACTTAAGAAAATTCAAGTCTTCATGGGAAAAACTTTACGAGTCACTACCGAGGTATAGTGAGTGATCACATTGAATAATATTGCTGGTGTGATATAGTCGAAGCTCTCATCAATATTTGATCAGACTTCTGATAATGATTTCAGTAAAAAATGGGGATTTACTTTTTCTATAATATTTTTGTTCTTGATATAACAACACAAAACAAGTAATCAAGTAAAGAAATAGATATAAAGTTACGAGTAAAGTATTGTCTTGATGCGTCTAAAGGTATTTTGTATTTACA